GAGCTGGCTCAAGACAACTAACCTTGGTCACTGAGTATCATGCTGGAGTCCACCGCCGGTATAGAGTGATATGAGCTTTGAGTTGACATGGTGTTGCCGTTGTGGTGGTAAGTGGGCGAGAAATCAGTCATTTCCCCCTCAAAGGATGAGCCGTCGGGTGTCCTTACGGATGTAGGAGAAGTCGAAGAACTATCATTCTCCCATTGCATATACTCGGGCGGTTGATCTTGAGGTAGTTCCAGCTGTTGCGATAGATTGCGGCTCGCCAGTGGTGGGGTCGCAAGTGGGCCAGGGGAATGCCCAGTATGGTTGATCAGGGAATCTGTTAGTGTTTTCGACCGTCGGTTATCATATTGACCATATCCAAATGCATGCGGATCGATGAAAACTGGTTGTTCCTGGTACGGGTAGTAGTGCTGCGAGTATGTCGACATGATGCGCAAGTGGCCGCTGGGGGCTGGATAGATGTTTGGATACTACTCGTCAGAGCGCTCGTTGAGTAGTAATCTATCTATACGTTTTAGGCGTTTCCCCCCAAATTCTCTTCCTAGTACTTCTCTTGTCTTGATCTCGTGTTTGTGTAAAAGAGTCGAATTATTTCACCAGCGACCGCATGCAAGTTGAGTGCCGTCTTTCGTAGCGAAGGGATGTAAGCGCTCAACCTCCACCCAATATCTTGTGTCGCCAAGTAAATCGGGCTGTGCTACCGCTGACCGGTGAAGGCGTGTTGAGCCAAAATGAGCGTCATGCATAGGCGCCACCGACACGTAAGCCTGAGTTCTGAACACGAAGAAGTCGAGCGTACTTTAACATTCTGTCAATACGATATTCGTAATGGGGTTTCTTTCTGTACCGATTCTGCAGTAAAGACTGCACGACAATGTCTTCAGACACGGAGTTGCAGCTGGGCCATCTTCGCGATGGCTACCCATCACTCGCTGCCTGGATCGCTCGCGACCCCGACAACGAAGCCTTCGTCTTTCGAAGATTCGACAAGCTGGGGGCCAGGTTTATATTGCATTTACAGGCAAAACTGATCGATTTGGAGCGCAAAATTGACCGACAGGATGAGCAGGCTCGTCTGAGTGCCGACCGGGAGGCCAGAACGTCTTCTCGAAGTTGGGAGACACTCATGGAGCATGCGACAGATATGAATAGGAAAGAGAAAGACCGCATTGAGACTTTGGAAGAGTTAGGTGTCGTTTTGAAGGAATATTGTATGGAAAACTTGAGCTCGTCCCAACATCCATAGTTCACACTGACATGAAGCAGATGAGCTATTGAACTTGCAGTCACAGACACTAGGTCTCCGCAAACCCAGTGATCGAGTTCTGACCACTTTCCGCGACTTCTTGAAGGGAGCATCTTTCCGCGATGAGTATGGTAAGCCTCAACCATTACCCCTCATCGGAGGGGCAGCGCAAGGCTTCCTAGACGAAGAAGGCGATCTCCTCATGCTGGCTGCGCCCGTCGAAGAGGATCACCTCTCACTCTTCCTGCGAGATTACTGGCCATTTCAAAAGCGCAGAGCTCAAGACCCACTCGACCGCACGGCGATATACAAGAATTCGCACATCGTGCGAACAGTATCTGCCTTGAACATGATGCTTGCCGCTGTTCTTTTGATTGGCGCGATTGTCAATTTGTATTATGTATCCAGCCCGAAAGCGAAGCTGGGCCTCGTAGCGATGTATACTGCACTCTTTGCGCTAAGCGTTGCGTTGTTAACAACAGCAAAGCGAGCGGAGGTTTTCGCTGCTGCTGCGGCTTATGCAGCTGTGCTTGTCGGTACGTATCAAATATTCTGCACGGAAGATGAAGTTGACTGACATATCCTACGGTGTTCGTGAGTGGGGACCTGGGTGGTGCTTCGACCGAACAATGCCTAATACAGCTCGAAGGCGGCATTTGGAAGACCGTTAAATGCCCTGGATGAAGGAATGGAAACCTACGAGGACCATGTCAATTTCCGCTCATCTAGGGATCGGGAGTACGCTCCGCCGAGAAGGCTATGCAAACCTAACTCCCAAGGTCCAGTTGTTGTCCCTTCTATTCAACGGATCGAAGACAGACAGGTTGCAGAGACACCTGGCTTCTGATGAAGCTGCGCCGAGGTGATGACATGGTCGTCCCTTCCTGGATTCAACCTTACGAAGTAGCTTGACGCATACGCACGTGCCAAGCTGCGAGAGAACCTTGGGAACTAAGATACTTTCCGCCAACATCCTCGTTAGGTTCATGCTCGCCCTATTGAATCCTCTCATCTTCGCTGCCCAGCCTTGGTGGGCCGTACCCTAGTAAACAAAATTGAACATCTTGGATGTTTCATCGTGTATAGCTTCATCATTGAATGACAGTGGTCCAAATTCTTGCGGACTACACCGGAATACTTGTAAAGTCTTGAGAGTATGTGAAGGAAGAAGTTTAGGGAAGAAGATAACATTGATTGTACTTTGGTGCTTAAATTGTGGATATCAACTTGGAGACATTAGAATTCGTTGGAAACGTCAAGATCGCTACACTACCCTCTGATCGATCACCTCCACTGTACCCTCCACAACTCGTTAGATCCACCATCGAAACCTCACTGTCGTATTACTGGATCTACAAGAGAAGTCCGGCAACACCAAGGACACCACCCAATCCGATAGCCGCGGCAGCCATAGTTGGTGCAGGGGCACCGTTAGTGGTCTGTTGAGCACCACCAGCACCACCAGTGCCAGAAGTCGCTGAAGCAGCGTTAGAAGCCGCAGAAGAACCAGAAGTCGCTCCAGACATGGTAGTTGTCGGAGCGGCGGAAGAAGCGTTCGACATGGCCGAAGTCATCGAAACCATGGAAGTAACGGAACCAACAGACGTACCGGAAGCAGAAGCCGGAGGGGCTGTAGAAGCGGCCGAGGGGTTGTAGGAAGTGGCGCTGAAGGAGCATTCGCGGACAATATCGGAGACGTCGTTGTCAAGCTCTCCGCCGTTCTGGGTGATGCAGGCGGCGCAGAGGGGGATGGCGGTATTGGCGTTCTGGGCGTTGCAGATGCACTGGCGCTCAGCGGCATCGTCGTCTGAAGTGTCTAGTTAGTATTCGTGTGTTATGTTACCAACGAGATATACTTACTGGTGCTGTTGTCACAGTCACGGGTCAGTGTAACGACCGAGGCGCAGACATCGCGGCACTGCATGGGGACATCGTCGTTGTCGACATCCTGAGCAAGACCGATGGCGGAAAGAGCAAAGACGATGGCGAGCTTCTGGAAGTGCATGTTTGCGGTAGGTGGTAATCTCAAGCGAGAGTTGTAAAGTTTGATTGGTGTTGTATTGTTGTGGAGTAGTGAAGACTGTGGTTTGCGATGCTGATGATGTCCTCCATCGTGGGAAGTATCAGGGAACTATATACTTCAAAAACTGCTCGCGTGCCTACTTTCCCTTCTGAGACGGCTAGCCCTCCGCATCCAATCAAACATTCCCGTTCCTCGCACAGGGCTGACATCACATTGCTCGCGGTGATTACGTCTGACAGCAGGCTCCGCCCTGCGTCCCGCCATCTATCGGTCCGTCGTCGGTTATCACGGGTGGGCGTTGTCCATGGGGAATGTGGATTGGCGCCGGGGATCAAGGTCTTGTGTCAAGGCGCCCAAGCATGAAGTCAGATGCAGTGCCAAGCGCCCAGCAACGACGGAGCCTTGGCGAGTGAGGTTTATTGGGTTATTCATGTAGGACGATCGTCTTGCGTCGCACGCAGCACTGCCTGCCGCGACGCAACAGCCACGGCAGACAACACACATGCCTACGCGTAGCCAAGTACCCAAGATTCAAGTGTATGTCTAAAGTTACACTGAGTACTAAAAAAGCAAGTTGTGGCATCTTCTTCCATGTTCTTCAACAAAAGTGGACCTTGGCCACCATCAATCATGAAAATGCGGAGAAACTTGGGGACTGCTGATAAGTGATCAGTGCGAAAACATGAGGTCACATTAATGTGGATTGAGTCAGGCAGTTGTCTAACCAAGGAAAATCTCCCCGCTTCACTTGCCTTACCCATTGAAACGTCTAGATTTGATTTGAGCATGCTTTACACCAAGCTCTGCGGATGTTCCTGCCAAGCATGAGCCAAGTTAGCAATGGACACACTCACTTGCACCGCCATCGATTACGTGGTGGGTTGTCGCAAGTCAGATGAGGCTGTTGGTGGTATGAGTGAAGTTGTTTCTATCTTTGTAGCAAACATGCATAGATCCGCGCGCGGGAAGTCTTGGTTCGGATAGAAGCGGAGTAAACATGTGTTGAACTACCGAGATGTATAAATGGGAGATGGTATCTTTATGCGCCGCTATGCTATACGCCATGCTTATATGAAACGGACAGAAATGTCAAACTTCGATCCGTGCCGACAACTCAACGCTAACATGCGATGACAAATGCTTCGAAGCGGTAACTCAGAGAAGAATCAGGATGATGTGCGCCAAAATGCCATGCTATGCCATGCTACGCCTTGCAGGGTCAGGGGTGGTGCATGCCGTACGTAGGAATGACAGGAAATGCCGATGCTGCAGACTTTGCTCTGCGGAAGGCTGAGAGATTGAAGGATAGCACTGCTGGACGTGATTTGGGGCTTTGCGAGTGGCAGTCCCCCAGCCAGGAAAGGTCTTTGATAATTCCCCAGATAGAAGATAAAAGTTGGGCAGCGGGATGGTCCGGGATTGTCCGCGAAGCTTGGGACTTCACGAAGCAATGTCGGGTGCTTTGCCGCTGGGCGTTATGGGGCGGGACCCAGAGACGAAGCCCCGCGAACCCTTTCTAGGCTCTGGCTTAATAGGGACTCGCATAGCGTCCTCTGGCTTCAACTCGCCGGTAAGCCATTGACCCATATGTGTCTGCCATCTCCTGGGGTCGTCCGCTTTCGTTGCTTCCCTTAACCTCCTATGCCGCACCAGCCTTTCCGCTACCTGTTGCAAAACAATCTTAGGAGGCTGGTACTCGGTCAGGCCTCCTGGGCTGGCGATCGTATTCCTCTCAAGATATGCGTTCGTTGCTTGCTCCATAGTGGAAAGCGTTTTACCTCCAGGAACCTCTTTCCTTTCATTCGTTTGCGGATTGGTCCATGGTCCCTTCTCCCAGCTGTCAAGTGGTAGGCCTTCAAGCCCTTTGTCGACGTTGAGGCGCTTGTACCATCGATGTTCTCCCTTGGCTATTGTACGCATCATCTTATGACGATCTTCACCTTCGGTGTATTTGATCAAGACGTTCTTGAAAACAGCCAGCTTCTCACTCCACTTCTGCAGCGCCTTGACCTTGCCTAATGGGCCAGGCCAAACCGCCGCGAATCCGTCATTTGTGGTATCCGGGCGTCCTGTCCCGATAGAAAGTAACAAACCTGGCTCTTTATCGTCACCGTTCAGCGAAGCGTGCTCACTATAAGCAGCATACGAGGGGTTGTTTTCGCGAATTCCTCCATCTTTGAAGCTCACTCGCTTTCTGTTTCTCCCGCTGCCGATCTCGGCGGTGAGCATCTCAAAGTAGAAAGGAGCTGCAGACGTAGCTCGTGTCACCTGCCATATCTTCAATTTGTCGGCACCGGCATTGTAGTTTGTAACCCAGGGTGGAGCGATATCGGGATCGTATTGGTGGTTGTATGAGCGGAGAAGGTGTGCTTCGTCGATTTGGCCAGAGTGGGTGGCAGTCAGACAGATACTGGGTATGGTTAGTAAAGCGTGAAAGTGATGATAGTCAGCCCCAAGATCAAACAAGAGGTTCTTCAAATTCAACAAGACCGCAGGAATGGTCTTGTAGTAGGCAGACCTTGTCGAGGACACATAGATGGGGGAACTTACGATTGACATATCCGCTCTGTTGGCCTGCCTCTGATTGACGGCTCACCACCACTTGACCAGGTAGTTGAGCTTTGTAATGAGCCCATACCTGGTTCGTTGACCGTCGCTTGCACTGGAGTGCTCTCTTCCTCTAGAACCCATGGGTGCCAGTCATCTCCTATACAGTGGTTGTGCTCCTTGCAGTATTGCCTGACGATATCTTGCACGGCTTTCTCTAATGGCTTGTGGTGGTATTTGGTAGCCAGAGGCAGCACACTCCTCCTGTGTCCAAACAGCTCGTGTCCTACTTTACGGTATAGTTCGAGGCATTGTGGTACGCTCATACGCAACCTAGCCAGCATGACGGAGATGAGTCCGCCCGTACTCGTTCCGTACATGAAGTCAAAGTAATGACATGGCAATAGTTCGTCTTCATTGAATTCGCGTCGTTCGCTGCCCTCTACAGGGCCTTCTTGTGTTTGTAATCGGCGTTCGCATATTGCAATCTCGTGCATGAGGCGTTGAATAATCAGGAGGCTTGAGTAGCCACGGATGCCACCTCCATCTATCGAACATGTTAGTATTTGCTACAAGTGCCATCAAATGCTACGAATCCCTCCGCGATCGACCATGCAGGTTTAAGCACTCGTACCGTTGCGCGCATCCAATGCGCTACATCCATGTCCACCTGGACCCTTCTCCACATGGCGGAACAACTTCACATACCTAGCGTGAGTATCAAGTCCTCCCAGCAGTTGTCCTTGGTAACGTTCATCTTCCAGGTTTCTCCAGTTTTGTCCTGCACCGTGGCACTGGTGCCCGTCGTCCTTATACTGAGCGGCCGCGAGACCGGCTCCGGTGGTTGCAACATGTCGGCGCGCTTGCTGTGTACTTGATGGAGGTTTGGGACCTAAGGTATGCAGCCTTGCACAAATCGCGCACTTCTGGTCAGGCCGGAAACAAAAGGAGGTAACGGATCGACGCAGGTTGCAGTGGATATAAGGCTGCGGAGAGCCTCATGACAGCTTTGGCGCGTTCCTGCAAAGGGCGCGACGGTCTGCACGCTGGTGGATGGGTGGGTCGCGGGAGTGGCTGACTCTGCCGCTAGCGAATGGAGTCTGGGGTCGTGACGAATTAGGACGACGGAATTGCGACAGAGCCACTGCTAAGCCTCTGGGGTCCAATAAAGCGTGGAGGCTTGTCTCTGATCTCATTGTGACCCTGGGAGTTCTTTATGTTGAAGTGGTCAGGGGGTGACGGGTTTGTGTGACGCAGGGAATAGAATGATGAGGTCAGCCCGTTCTCCCGCAATCCTACCCAGAATTTGGGAGCCGACAACAACCACGGTGAGAGTTTATCAGTAGCCGTTCTGCTTGCTATACAGGCATACTATTTCGCGTTGTTGCCTATGTGGAGCTGAAATGCAGGGCTGTATACGAGCAGGCAGAAAGGCTAACATGTTCGGGACGCAGTCCTCCTCGAGCAAACTCGAGACGCCAGGGGGTCGAAACTGAATCCAGAGTGACGCCTGCTTGTGATACTGACGATGGCCAAGCGGGTCTGCCGGACTGCGTAGTGAGAGCGAATTTTGGCCGATATATGGTCACATGAATGGCGTTCATGGGTTACAGACTTGCAGGTGATGCGCTTGATAATCTCTCGCAATATCGCTGTTACATGTATGAAAAAAATATGTCATAAAATAACACGATGAGTCAAATGGTCTCTTTTCGATCGATGGAAGGTTGTGGGCATGTTCGGCATACTGACGGGCCTCGCTTTTAGTCCGTAGCCGGCTCTGCCCGTGGTTGACCAGGATTCCTCAGAGACAGGGCTTTCTGGCTCATGTTAGGCGAGACGAGACAGAACTCAAACGAGCTGTACCTGACCGAAAGACTAATATATTTGAATGTTTGGAACAGGAACGTCGCCGTTGCGCATTTGGGCCAATCACGGTAGTTGACGGCACAGCCGCATCGTGAACCAATCAACGAGTAAATCGGCCGGGAGCGACATCATACCATCAGCCACGCTAGGGGGCGCAGCCCGTGGTGTGACGCTGCTGGAAGGCTCGACGCTCTCTCACGACCCAGACCGTCACTCCACCTGCACCTTCACACCATTTTTCCCTCACGCGACTGACCGGCGCCTACGCCTATACAAAGCACATTCCACCAGTTTGTAGGACCACAAACAACAACCGAGACAAGCACCAGATTCCTTTCGCTACCCATCCTTCATCCTTCTCTGCCCACCGGAGCCCTATTCTCGCCTGTTGCGACATCTCAGCCTCACCTTCTCAGTACAGAAGCGAAGGAATAATGCAGGAAAGCACGACCTTCAAGTCGGATTCGACGTCTGGCTCAGCGTCCAGTAAATCGAGTGTCCTGTTCGATTTGGATGCAGGCGGCCACAAGTCTATCCTTGTGTACAAGTATCGTTCGGGCGCAAAGGGTCTAGAGATCAAGACAGAGGCCGACCTTTGCAGTGAACTTGACCAAGGTACGTTTCCTTCTGCCTGCTGATTTGGCCCCAACTAAGGCAGCGCCCAGACCCGTCATTACCCTTCATACGCGTCACCAAGAAGCCTATACCGCGCGGCAACAGTCGGCTTGACATACTCAACGAAGATCTGCTCGCTCCGTTGGAGCGTGAAAAATACGCAGAGAAGCCTACCCTCAAGGCTTCCGTCGCAAATGTGGGACTGCCCACGCTCGCGAAATGGAAGCACATGATACTAGGGAGCTACGAGGACCTATACATCGTCTCGCGGTCGCATACGCCCTCGCCTGAGGCCAGCAAGACCAACAGTCCAGAATCAAGTCAGCATGTCACGCCTGCGCATACCTTCCCCAACGAAGCGTTGCATAATTAAGATGCGTAGGTGTGGCAGCCGTCACACAACTACACGATACCTATACGATTATACGTTTTCTGTCTGTCATTACGCGATACCCATAGAGCTCGGCGCCGGATGGAGTTTACCTTGTTATTATATCCCTTGAGTCGTGTCATGTCCGTCTGTCGCTTTAGGATAGAGAAAGGTCATGCTGCACGATATCGAGTCGGCAGTATGTAACTCTCAATACGAAACCACTATAGATACTAGCTGTGCTTGTCATCCTAAGTTATATGCATCGTGCCGTGTGAACCTCTTAGTCCAGAGCTACTGTGTACTTGCGCATCCAATGTCGCGTTCCCAACAGATGTAGAGAAGCAATATCATGAAGAAACAAGAGACCCCTGTCTGATAACACCAGTTCATGCCGAGGAAGGAGCCGCTGCACCAGGATCGGTTGTCGCCAAACCAACGTCATCACAGACGTGATTCGCCAATGCAGTGTTCGGAAGAATGACTGCAGGGAAGAGATGTAAAGCTTTTCTCCCCGTGTTGCAGCGACAGGAAGCGAAGGAGCATACTGCCTGCATTGTTTGTATACACGTGGGTGGCATCGGACCTTCTAAATGGCTGGGCGCGCAACGGCAGACCCATCTACGGCTCGTCCAGACGACACTAAGGGACGGCGCTCCACCCAAGTCTGCACATGCAAGCGGGGAGCTTCACTCTTGGGCCCGGTCTTGTTGCGCTGGGGCCCTGCATCAACTTCTGAAGCTTCCATCGTGAGCCCATATTGCTGACAACCATTCTTCCACGCTCATAACATCCCAATTCAACGGCTCGAGGTCTGCAGTTATCCTCGTTCGCCCGACATGAGGTTCGTAATCCCAGCAATGCAGCCATGCACGCGTCGCCCAATCGTCGCACAGCGCGGATGATGTCAACGGAAACTAATGCGCGTTCGCAGGTTTGGTCAGCAGCTCAAGCAGTCGCTCAACAAGGAGTGGATCTTCTACTACATCGACTATGAGAATCTGAAGAACTCGCTGCGCGTCCACCACATCTGGGACGAGAAGTCGGAGCAGAGTTTCGTCGAGCAGCTCGAGAAGGAGCTCGACAAGGTCTACACGTTCCAGCGCGTCAAGGCCGAGGAAATTATCCGTCGCATAGCAGCCTCCGAGAAGGAAGTCAACGATGCCGTCGCGCGCGCCCAGCAGGAGCCCCAAAACAGCGACAACTTCGAGGAAGATTTCGACTTGTTAGAGGAAGACCTGAGCGATATCATCGCCGATGTCCACGACCTCGCCAAGTTCACGCAGCTCAACTACACGGGCTTCCAGAAGATTATCAAGAAGCACGACGTACGTATTGAAACAATTGGCATGTTGCAAGGCTAATTGCATGCAGAAAAACACCAGCTGGTTCCTCAAGCCCGTCTTCGCCGCCCGTCTGAAGCGTAAGCCCTTCTTCCAGGACAACTACGACTCCTACGTGGTCAAGCTATCGCGACTCTATGACATCGTCCGCACCCGAGGAAACCCCGTCAAGGGTGACGCTTCCGCCGGAGGAAAACAACAAAACTTCGTGCGCCAGACAACCAAGTACTGGGTGCACCCCGATAACATCCTGGAGCTGAAGCTTATCGTCCTCAAGCACCTGCCTGTGCTTGTGTTCAACCCCAACAAAGAGTTCAACGAGGAGGACTCCGCCATCACATCCATCTACTTCGACAACACCGACACATGGGAGCTATACCAGGGCCGTCTGAAGAAGACGGAGGGTGCTGAGGCTATCCGTCTGCGATGGTATGGAGGCATGTCTAGCGACACCATCTTCATTGAGCGCAAGACGCATCGTGAGGACTGGACAGGCGAGGAGTCTGTCAAGGCGCGTTTCAAGCTCAAGGAGAAGAACGTCAACGCATACCTCCGTGGTGAACTCAGGCCTGAGCAGATCTTCGAGAAGGAGCGTAGGGAGCAGAAGAGGCCTGAAAAGGACATCGCTTCTGACGAGCAACTGGCCCGAGAGATCCAGTACCGCGTACTGACCCGCAAGCTCGAACCCGTTACGCGATCTTTCTACCACCGTACCGCTTTCCAACTTCCCGGCGATGCTCGCGTCCGTATCTCCTTAGACACTGAGCTTACCATGACCCGCGAGGACAACCTGGACGGCAAGAGGCGCGCTGGTGATAACTGGCGCCGCACGGATATCGGTGTGGACTGGCCTTTCAAGCAGTTGCCCAAGGAGGACAAAGAACTCTTCCCTTACGCCGTTCTCGAGGTCAAGCTTCAGACACAAGCTGGAGGAGAGCCGCCTCAGTGGATCCGTGACCTCACGTCTTCCCATCTCGTCGAAGCCGTACCCAAGTTCTCCAAGTACATTCACGGGACTGCCACACTCAACCCCAAGCGCATCAACTTGATCCCATACTGGTACCCCCAGATGGATGTTGACATCCGCAAGCCTGTCACCCACAAGTTCGGTATCGAGCGCCCCGGAGCAAGCAACGACATTAGCACTAGCGGTAACCTGGACGACGACGATAGCGAAGACGAGGATGCCGTCATGGGTTTGCCCGCAGCTAACGGCAACGAGGATGACGACAGGATGAGGAGGCTTCGCGACGCAAGGGACGTAATGGAGCAGAATGAGATGGAACGAACTCGCGATTACGGCACTCTTACGAATGGCAACGATCCCAATGCGCTTGATATTGAAGAGCGTGTCGCCGCTGGACGCACTCGCGACGAGGACTACCCCATCTACGATTCTGACAGTGACGATGATGACGAGGAGTTTGAGGCTGCTAAGCGACAAGGAGGTCTCCGCTATGCAAAGAAATGGGTAGAGCGTACCGCCGCCAACGTGGGCTCTACGGTTCTCTCGAGTGTTGCAGCAATAATCCCCAAGCCAACACCAACTGACGTTGGTGAGGGAGGCTTCTCCCTTGGCGTACCCTCATGGAAACAGAAGGGCGAAGTCAAGCGCTTCAAGGCACCGAAGGGCAAGCGTAAGTTGTTCCGATCATCCCACCTCCAGCCTGTACTAACATCATAATAGGTATTCACGTCCCTGTCCGTGTCGAACCCAAGGTCCAGTTGGCAACCGAGCGTACTTTCCTCTCGTGGCTAGAATTCTCCATCCTCATCGGTTCCATCGCCGCTACGTTGCTCAACTTTGGTGATAGCTTGGCTTTTGCAGCTGCTTGGGCGTTCACCATCATCGCTTGTCTTGCGCTGTGCTATAGTGCAGGCTTGTACTTGTGGAGAGTGAACAAGATCAAGGAGAGGAGAGCG